AGGAGAAAGGAGGGGATCATTCATGTCATAACTTGTATAGTGGTCTGTCTATCAAAGTTCCTTGGGAACTCTTTAAAGCTAGTGGTATTAGTGCCTCCTTCCACTCATGAATCACTAAAGCAAATTTACCACGGCAGATGAATGAGAGCACATTCTTTCCTATGCCTCCTTTTTGCCCGTGCAAGGGTGATTTTATGTGCTGGATTTGTCCCTGCAGGGCAACAGGTTCTTCTGCAGTTTAGGATATTTCTGCTTTATGAATCTTAGTCTGTTACTCAGCACTTCAGCGATGGCATCGTTTTTCTTGTTGCTGGTAATTCAGCCTGATAAGGAGCAAACTCTGGACCTGTGGAATTGACTCCCTTCTTTTGTTTGGATCCTGAAGTTGGGCACTGTGTTGTCCTTCAAAGCAGCTTGTTGAATGCAAATGACAATATAAGCAGTATGGAGGATGTTGTATGGCATCCAGACATGTCTTTTGTTCCCAGAATGACGGGAATGCCTGAAGTTTTCACCTCTTTTGTGGGGAACTGAGTCTGAATCTTTTCTATCCAAGAAGTTTGAAACCACTGTGGTGTACCTGTACCCAAAGCTCAGCCTTTCAGACAGGCGTTTCACCAGTAAGGAAACAGACTTCTTTTCCTCCTAACTGGTTCCTCATGATCCTTCCTTAAAGCTTCACCATAGTTCATGTCTTATCAACTTCTGATGAGTTATCTTTGATGGTCATGATTTCTCTAATATACAAACCCTAGAGCTTTTGCATGTCTGTGGTCGTTAGGTACAATGAGTTCAGCCTCATTGGTTTCTGTGTTACAATAAGCAGGTCTTTCCTATCACTGAATCTTTTTGGTGCAAGGAAGGGTTTGAAAGGATTTATCAGAAACAATTTCAGCTCAATGGAATTGTATTGTTAAATGATGCTACACTTCGATTTTTTTCCTAATCACTGAAAGCTGTGTCAGAATTTTTTAGAAATGTTCACAGTACAAATGTTTTTTAAAATAGCTTTTGCAGTGCTGCCTGGTCACAGTTCCTTTAAGCCATTTAGTAGGCAGAGTCTGTGGAGCTATTCGTGTTTCTAAAATTGTTGGGGTTCAACCACCCAGTCTGTATCACTTGATAGAATTAGTGACTGTATGTCAAAATCTTGAGGACCTTTGTTCAAAATGTGGTGGTTATAGCTAATTAACATTTTCCTTTCCACCTCCTAGTTTTAAAGATTCGGCACCAAAATATATTTGGAAATCATTAACTTTAGTTTGCCCTTTGACATGTTTTCTTTTGTCTTGCAAGCTCATTTCTTTTCCTAAGGCATCTGAATGCCTAGGAGGACAACTGTGACCTTTAAAGTGAAGAAAGAGAGATTACTGCACTTAGCCTGTTGTGGTTTTGGTTTTTTTAAAGGACATTCAGAACATCAATGTAGGTGGTTTTTTTTAAAACTAAACGTGCACTTAAAACACTTTGGAAAATGCTGAAATGTACTTAAAGGAAAATTACCTCCTGAACTATGTCCCTAGACTTTAGATTCTTTCTCTGGAACAAATTATATGGTTAGCGTCCCTGAAAACTTGTTTTCATTTTAAATGTATTCCTCTTTTAGATAAACAATCAAAGGTGGACATTTTAGCAATGTATTTTCCTTTTGTTTTGTTTTGGGGTTTTTTTCTTACACACGCTTACTTCATGTGCTCTTCCAACCCACATTTTGTTTCCCTTTGGCACAGAGAGACTCTTACATAATTTTTCAAAAATACAACAGTGTTCTGCTGTAATAGTCCAAAAGGCTACAGCCTTGCATTTTTGCAAAGGTTTGGGATGATTGCAGTAGAATAGTGTATTGTTTTTGATAAGGCCTGGTTTTGGAGGGTTCTTAAATGCCTGTTTCTCTGCTGTTGGCTTTTCCTCAAGTTTCTAATAAACGCGACTCTACAAGGGAGCGGGTGAAACAACTTAAAGTTCTCTTCTCTAATACAGCACTTCAGTTTCTTTCAGGAGAACAGCTTAAAGAAAAGTATGCTCTGTAAATACCACAGCTGCCATCCCTCATTAGTTCCTGTTTACATGCTCGGCAATGAATATTTGTATATTTTTATGTAATAAATTAGCATTAGCCTAAGTGCAGTTAATTCTACAATCATTCCCACTGATGTAAATGAGAAATAGTTTCTTGTAGGTCAGTGGAGCTGCTGCAAGGTGTATAAGGTCAGAATCCAGCCTGCTAGAACAAGATGTGGATGTATTTTAGAAGGTTGCATTTGAACTGATGTGTATCTAGCCTAGGAGCTGTAGTTAGGTAAAGTGCATGAAAGATTCAGCTCCTGAATGGGTAACTGCACTGTTGGGAGTAGCTGTCAGCTCACTCTGACTGCAGATGACTATGAGATAGGCCAGCATATGACTTGAATGTGGACAGTTGCAATACCATCTTGTTGAGTTCTGAAGAATAGCTCTGTTTGTGACTTGTCCTTCTCCTCTGTCAGTCTCTTTTGTGTGTGTCTGTTTAGTTGTATGTTTGCTTGTATGTATACATAGCAGGCTGTAGGAGTAGAGATGATACATGTCCTTGATTTTCCCCTGGAGTAGGAGCTCACTTTTTCTGTTAGCTTCGACTTACAGCATTGCCCATGTTGTACACTACTGTGGTAGGCAGTCTGCAAATACTTAGGTCAGATGAAAGAACAGTTCATATCAGGAAGCGTGTGTATGGTTGTATTGATACCAGCAATTTGATTGCTGGGCAAGAATGGAGTGGATCTGCATTCTTGTGGTATCCTTCCTGGATTGAGTCCATCTGCTGCCTCATTCCCTCTGCAAGGTGCCTGTGCTATAGGCAAATGGAGAACAGTCAGGGTGTGATTCATGGTAATGTCTAGGAGGACAAAAAAAACAATCACAGAATCAACTAGGTTGGAAAGGACCTTGAATATCATCTAGTCCAACTGTTAATCTTGCACTGACAGTTCCCAACTACATCATGTCCCTCAGCGCTATGTCACCATGATTCTTAAACACCTCCAGGGATGGGGACTCCACCACAACCCTGGGCAGCCCATTCCAACACCTAACAACCTGTTCTGTTAAGAAATGCTTCCTAATATCCAGTCTAAACCTTCCTGGTGCAATTTGAGGCCATTCCCTCTTGTCCTATCGCTTGTTTCTTGGTTAGAGACTCATCCCCAGCTCTCTGCACCCTCCTCTCAGGTAGCTGTAGAGGGCGATGAGGTCTCCCCTCAGCCTCCTCTTCTCCAGACTAAACCACCCCAGTTCCCTCAGCCACTCCTCGTATGACACGTGCTCCAGACCCTTCAAGGTCCTTTCCAACCTAGTTGATTCAGTGATTCTGTGAATCTCCCTAAAGTAGGGAACGTCCCCAAACAGGCCAGAGGAGGCACTCACTGTACAGTCCCTACTGAGCACCACCACTCCTGTGTGTCATTGACTGCCATTGCATGGTCTCATTGCTAGCTTTAGATTATTGTCCTCTCTCCAGCTAACTAAGTGAGGCTGGATAAGTGACGTGCAACCATCTCTTCTTCATCCGTTGCCACTCATGATCCTGCACTGATTACACTCCAGGCAGATTCAGAATCCTGTCTCTTAAAATGCAGCCATAACAAATGTAGTGGGTATTGGCTAAGAAACTGTTAGTGCAAGCTCTGGTTAGTCTCTAGTTCAGAGAGTCTACGCTAAAAGGGCATTTGCTTCCCTGCTGCACATGTAGTAGTGTTTTAACAAGTAATAGATTACGGAATTAATTTTCTGCTGCCTCCCCTGGGAGTCAACTAGACAAACAACGATTAGGAAATCTTAGCTGATAATTGTTTAAATGTTTTGTTTCTTAATTTCATCTTTTTCCTTGGGCAATTTTACATTATCCTAAATAGTTCCTTTCATTCCTCAGTGCTTGTGTTTCCCAAGTATTTGTAAATCACTACCAGGTCTCCCTTTCCCACAGGCATTGCTTATCCTAACTGTTGACTGAAAATCAATCCCTCCATCTAATGACTTTGTCACTGTTCTCTGAACTCTTTCCATTTTACATTATCCATCTGGCAACAAAATGTCCAACGCTGCTCTCAGCCTGCAGATGTGGTAGCTCCATAGCTGTTGAGGCAGGGATCTGTTACAAACCGTTGTGTGTCGGGATCTAGCTGTTTCTGGGATGAGTACTACAAAAATATAAAGTCATTTGCTCCTAGCTTCTCTGCCCAGGACACCTCAGTGTAATGAACGATTTGTAATATAAACCTGCTGAAGTTGTGCTGTTTTTCTTTACTCCATACCCTATTCCTTTTTTTGGGTTTTCTACAACCACAAACACATTTTAAGCCTCATTCTCCTCAGAAATATAAGGCTTTTCAAGCCCAGGATCTGACTGCTCTCCCTAGTCTGCTCTCAGCAAATAAAAGCTAGCAGGTTGCCAGGCCAGGCCAGCTGGGATGTGTGATAAGGGACCCTCTGCTCTGGCTCCCTGCTCTGCCTCTGCTGTGTCCTGGCTTCTGTAGGAGTCAAAATCGAACTGTGATGCGTGACCGTCATACTGTTTTCTCCATTGGTTTCCCAGCCTAATGAGCAGCGTGTTTTGCATGTGCTTTCCCAGCAATATCCCACAGTCATGTTCCTGCCCTAAACTGGCTGCACAGCTCTTGTGTCCCTATCTGCTGGGTCTTTTTCTGCTGTTTCTGGCCTGCCTCACGCTGGCCAGAGGGGAATGGAGGTGCCTATATATAGTCTCTGTACTTGCGTTAGGAGGAAGGTTGGGCAGGAGTGTTTAGCAATGTCTCACTGTTTAGCATAGACTCAATGGGTTTCTCCTGCCCATTGACTATCTATTTTAGATACTGCATCTAATGGTTAAGAAAACAAAGGAAAAAAAGAAAAGAAAAAGAATGCGACTGCACATGCAGAAAATTAATTTCAGTAAAAGTATTTCAAATTTCATTTGTGATATCACAAGTTCACAAAGTGGGGTTTTTTTCCTTTCAATTTAACAGGTTATCACTGCTAGCTTATCACCGTTCTTCTTTGTCATGACTGCCAATGTACTAACAATTTCCTGGTAAGTGCCTACGTGAGCTTTTTTCTTAACAGTAAAAATGAATTTCCACACGGTGCTTCATGTGGAAATACTTTTTAAATGTCAGGTTCTATTAGTGCCAGTAATACTTTGCATGTAAGGAGAACCAGGTGTGCAGTGATGGATGCAGTATAGTAATACAAGTAAAAGAGTGTTTCTTCTGCCTCTGTGGGAGAACACAGACATTTTGGACATTAAGCCTCACCACAATTCACTCAGCATGTTTTACAGCTAGACAAATGGATGCAATAGGCGAATAAATGACCCATTCAGAGTCACACTATAAATTAGTGGCAGAACTGGAAATAAAACACAGGAGTCATGGTTTGGTGACAGCATCTTTTTAACCAATAGAGTGCATTCAAGTTTCCCTAGCACAGTATGTACTGTGAATGCATAAAATGAAAACAGTAGAAATATAACGATAATTAACTTTTTCCAAAGCTGTATCTGGCACCTAACCTGATTTTTTTTCAGTAGTAATATACAGTATTGGGGTGCATACTGCTTTGGTCAAAGACAGTGGGTTTGCTCTGTGTTTGTATTAGCACCCAGTGAAAGGGAATCCCAGCCCATGGTTCATGCTCCTAAATGCTTTTGCCATGCAAATAACAACTAGATACAGGGTTAGGCATATATCTCTGAGGATGGATTTGTTACCGGAAATAAAAATCTTCTTACTTTTGAAAAACTTGAAGCTTCTTTTTTCCCCCCCTTAGAGTTAGTTTGATTGCCATCCTAAAGAATGGTGTGATAAAGTTACCGGAAGGAGAATCTCATTTTAAACTAGCCCCATATATATGTGTGAATATGCATCCCCATATGTATGTTATGCACATGTAATCTCAAGTACTAAAGTAAGTCATGTATTTTTTTTAGCTCTAGGAATACCATTATGTGGCCTGTGTGTGTAAGAGGCTAAACTAATGTCAATGCACCTACAACACTCCTAATCTAGGCCATTAATTTGCCTCTCTTCATCATGTTTTACATGTCTTTGTGCAGGTCTGTCATGTGCGTGCTAGAGGTAGGCTTTTATAATATGTATGTATTCACTGACACATATACTAAAAAATCATGTGTACCTTTGTTAATGTGAGCACATGGACCCGTAGAGTTGCACACATACTATACACCCTATATGCACTCAAAGTAATATAAATGATGAACACATCTGTACCTTTCAAAGCAACTTTGCTTTAGCCTTTGAGCCACTCTTACGCTTTGTCATAATTCAAAAATATAACCATTTCTTTTATTTGTTTATATCTTTGAATTCTGTTATTGCTTGTGCATCAGCAGTGCTTTGGCTTATCAGCAAAGCTCTGGAAATAGTTTGTTAGATGACAGCAGCTGCAAAGCACTCATGAGATCATTAATCACTGAGTTTTTTAGTGTTGCTCCGCTGTTGTCATGGACAATATCGCATGTTAATTTCTGAGTGACAGGCAAATGCAGTTAGCTGTCACCCCCCAATAAACAGAAGCTGGAGGATTGGCCAGATGGTAAATTGAAGGTAAATCAAAGGTTGGCGTTTAGCCATGTTTTTTGCTCTGCTTCTTCTTGAAGTTATAACAGTGTTTCAGTTGGCCTAGTAATCTGGATTGCATGGGTATGTGGATACCTGAGACTTCAAGTCCTTCATACAGGGATTCTTCTTCTCTGATGCAGGACATAGATATTAAAGAACGATTTAGACGTGGGCACCTTTTTACAGAACAGGGCTGTGCCGTTTACTATCTTTTGTACAGAATTGCCAGTCTAATTTTTAGAATGATAAATTAGCCATAGGTTTTGTTTTTTAAAGCCTCTATTAAAAATGATGTGGAAAACAATTCATCTATAGAAAAAAAAAAAAAAAAGTAATTTCTAAGGTTCTGTTTAGTTTAGGCCTTCCTATATACAGTGGGTTTTTTTCTTTAGGATGAAGGATACATTATCCAACCTTAGCTTCCAAAGGAGTTAATGCAGAGGGTATGTTTATAATTGGAGCTGAAATCTAGGCAAGACATGGGGGTTAACCTGCTCCAGAGAAGAGTGCTCAGAGGTTATTAGCGATTACTGGAGAATAGACTCATGTGTTTTAGATCTTTCTGAAAAGCTTGCAGCACTCACAGCCCTTTGCTCCATGTTGGTAATTCCACACCCAAAGGTAGTCTGTCTCCACAGTGGACTGTATGCAGACTGTCTGTAGCACCTACTTTCCAGGGCTGTTTAATCTGTAATTATAAGATATTGTGCTGTTGTTATACAATGTTTGTTCCTCTTGGGAACAAGGGCAATTATGTGATTTTTAAAACAGCTCACCAAAGCTAAGATTTAAGTGGTTGTAATGCTATTAAAGACCAGAGAGCCTTCAGCTCTACATGCCTTTTTTTTTTCCCAAGAAAAAAACCAACCCTCTTACAAATGAATTTAACAGAAGTTTGTTTTGTTTATAAAGTTCATTAAGAAGCTTTTTTGTTTCATAAGCTAACTCAGCCATGAGTCTAAGATGAAAGGTCAGTGCACTCAGCTTTGCACTGTTTTAACAGGGGAGAAGAGTCAGTATCCTATCACATTCCTGTCAGCTATGAGAGACAGCAGAGGCGATTTGGGGATTATTAACTATTGCGTGGATTGAGTGGGTTGATAGCATATTTCGGTGAATGGTTTTGTTTGCAAAACTATTCATCCTGATGTGGAGCCCTGTCTCTAGCCTGAGTGTTGGGGAGGAGCGTTAGTGCCGCCACTGCGCTTGTGAGCTTCATGGGAAGGACACGCGTGGGTACACATGCTGTCTCATCTGGAGCAGGTTCTTTCACCAGGTTCCTCACAAAGAGAAGCAAACCTGGGAATTTCTATTGGACTCTCCACACCAGGGGGATCTCCACAGAGCAAAATTCTTTTTCCCCATTTCCTCAGTCCCCACAACCTAGGCTTTACATCTCCTCCTGACTTTGTCAAGTGGCAGGTTTTCTGGATACAAGGCAAACAGAGACTGCAAGGGAGAATAATTAACCTAACAAAGTTCAAACTCTCTTGCCTTTCCTATTCTTGCTAGTGTATGGCTGTGCATCTATTCTTGTAACTAGGTGCAACCTTCTCTATCTAGATTTCTGTCTGTGTATTTTCATGTGAATACCACCAGCCTTAAAATATAGGAAGGGTAGTTTCTGAGGAGATCAGTTAAATGAGACATTTCTGGTTTCAGCCTTTTCTTAGCAAGACAAATGAAAAAAATCACCTGGGTTACTGTCTCTAGGTTGAAATGTGTTTAAACAAAATGATACTATTCTCTTAATGTGCTGTTTGGCATTGTATCAAGTAGACGGACTTGCCTGATGGTAAATTTTTGTTATACTTTGTTTACAGCCTTGTGATCAGTGGAGTTGGAGAAGCTTTGCTTGTTTACACTGAAAGGACAGGCATGTAAAGAGGAACCAGATCTCACCAGCTGGAAAAAGAGCTGACTTGCAGCCTGGAGACCCTGTCTTGGATAAAATGCAGCAGCAGGAATGAAGAAGTGCAACCAAACATGAGGAAAGAGACCTATTGTTTTCTATTAAGAAAGAAAAACTATGCTATTAATAGTGCTGGTAAGGGAGCAGCATAGTTGGCAGTATGGTTAGGAGCCTTTGCCTCAAAGCACAAAACAAACTCTTTCTGATTGATGTGGTTAAGGAAAAGCTGCACTGTCTCATGCTGATGGCTCTGTTTGAGAACCTCTCAGTAGCAGCTTCTTGCACAGGGAACTGAACTCAGGAAAAGCAGCATTCCCCACAGGATGCCCCCAGTTTTTTTGTTGGAAGCTGACAGCAGGTTGTACCAAACAATGTCAGAGCCCAGATCCTGCTATGAATGCAGGATCAGGAAGGATGAATTTTGTCTCCAACTGTTCTGTAAGCAGCAAGCTGCCACACACAGGTCTCTAGTCACGTCATCTGAACTGGCACGGTGACTGAGGCCATGGGGCTTCTGGAGATAATCCCCTTCTGGAACTGCGGCAGTCTGACAGCTTTGCAGAATGGGGAAATCAGCAATAAATCTCAGTATCTGTAGTGATTGCTCTTTGTGTATTTTTTTCCTCTCCCATTCTCTGAGATTTCTCTTAAAATCTGCAATTTTTGTCAGCTGGAGGGGGTGGAGGGACACATACTGTTCCCAGCAGTGGTTTGTCTCTTAAATTATTGCAAGAGGCAACAAAGATTATGAGCCTTGAATGAATGTCATAAAGAGTGTAAGGCAATTCATCTCAAGAGTTCTTAAAATAATTTCATTTCTGGTTGCTTAATGGCTGTTAGAAATTAGTCTTGATATATGAGTGCCTGGGAAAGCAATCTGTGTGAAAGTAATATTAAAGAATGACTTGATAATGTTGTGGGGAAGGTCTACATGGTAAAAGGAGCTTGATAACAAATCTTCAGTGAGGAGAAGGACTTGTCTCACATGACATTAGATATCTAAAGTTTATTCCCTTAATCTAAATTGACAAATTTTCCTTCATAATCAGTGGAAGGAGAGGAGTGCCCTCACAGAGATGATTTTTCTTGAATAGATTGCTGTGTTAATATGACTGAAAGACCCTCTGGAAGTGCTTATCTCTCTGTAGATGGAAACCAGGTGACTAGTCTAGACAAGACACATGGCTTTTAGAAGGCTACAGTTAGTGGAGGCATATCTGCTTCAATCTAACAAATTCCACCAGCTGGGTTTTAAAGTAGGGCTATTATTTTAAACGTCAAATAAAACACCATAGTTTAACAAAGAAGGTAAATTTTACAAAGGATTGCAGTCAATTTTATGACTGGGGAGTTCTAGGTAAAGATTAGTTGGTTTTCAGAAAAAAATGCTGTAGTTTAAAAAGGAGAATTCAGAGAAGTACTCTGGCCTGTATTGTACCTAAGTTTATCCCAATTAATCACAAGGGGTCTGTTTATACTGACATGTTGTCCATGTATGTTGGGTCACGCTCTGGCTTGAGTTTGGAGTGAGCCATTTTCTTGCCAGGTGGTAAAATTCAGGTTTGGGAAGAAAGGGGGAGAGAGAGACAAGCATGAAAAAAACATGTGCTTGAAGTTGAGCACTAGTCCTGAAACCAACATGATCCACATAGCACGGGTTGAGCCCATACTCAAGCCCAATGAGCCAAGACACATCGGCCATGGCCCCTAATGGCCTTCCAGTCTGTAAATTCAGACATTGCTGGCAGTGATGGCTGCAGCATGCTGGCCTTCCCCAGACAACTAGCTCTGCCAGCCAGTTGTGACAATATGGTAGGATCCTTGCTGTGCCACCTTTCTGCTGATTCTGAAATGACTAGTGACCCTGGGAGACCTCATGAGAGTCCCTGTGTGATAGCTGAGGTTTTGCAATCATAGCTGGAACCTTTGCTGTGGGAAAAGCTCATCGTGTACCTCTCTTGCATAACTTTCAAGGGTAGGCTGCAGCCTGGATTTTTTTTCTTCTCTCTTGTTTGTGCTGTTCATAGCAATGTACCAAGACCCAGAACAGCCCATTTGCTTTTTTGCTGGTGGTCTCAGCGGAAAGCCAGTGTTCAAATCAGCAGCCAGGGTTGCTGTAGCATTTTAATTGCAGAGGGTGTGCTTGTGGCAGCTGTAGGAAGGTTGTTTGGCTGCAACAGGCGTTACTTTGTCTGGGCTTTGGGAGAATTCAGCCTCTGCAGCTGCTGAATTAGTATCTCCCTGCATAGTAAGTGCACTACCTTTTTATTTAACTTCATGCATGTTAAACAACAGTGAGCCGTTTGCGTCTGCTTTCATTTTTGTGCCCTAGTGCAATGTGCTTTTCTAAGCAATGTGCGTTTCTAAGACTCTGCTTGATGTAAATAAAATACTGCAGATTTAAATTGATTTGACACATAAATCAAGGAAGCAGAGTTAACATGGAGTTGGGCTCCTCTGTCAAACATGGCTGGGAAGAAAAAACACCCTCTGAACCAACCTGACCTGCTTCAGGTGAGTATAAATCTTGCAGACCAGCACGAGGCTTGTCAGTCTTGCTGAAGACTTGAAGTAGGGTGGAAGTGAAGCTTGAGGGCCTTCAGAATCCTTCTGTGCATATTCAGAGTTGTGTAAAGGAATGGGTTGGCTTCCTTCTTCCTCAGGCCATGGCAGAGGTGACATCAGAACCAGGAGTCTGGTGTGGCAGCCACCCCTGTGGGAGTGCCTGCAGCCAAAGGGTCCTTAAGCGACGTTACCTGTGAGCCGTCGTCGGAAGGTTAGCCCTGCTGTAGGGGAAGAGATTGTGGAGAGAGAGCCCTTTGGAGGGCTTCTGGCTGTTGGAACAGTGGTGCCTTTGTCAATGCATGTGTGCTAGGGTGGGGACATCAGCCTGGAAATGGTGAGCTGCAGCATTTGAAAAGCCCTGAGATGGCAACTCAGCTGGCAGTTCAGAACAGGCCTGCCATACAAATCTAAAGGTGAGCTGTGGAGGGCACCTGTGGGAAGACCTTGGGCCCCCACTGCTGCCCTTGGGAAGGGGGGTGCATTCCCACCAGCAGCACCCAGGGGAGAGGGGGTACAGAGAGACACTGGTTGGGCTCCCTGGGCCCAGCAGCAAGCAGCCCCAGACCAGGAGGCGATTACAGCAGAGGGGAAACATGGGGAGGACAGGCAAGTACTGGCTGCTTGTGGAGGCTGGTGACTGAAGGGGATGGGGCAGAGCAAACCTCATGATTTCCTGAGGAAGCAGCAGCCTGATCTTTAATTCAGCCCTGCCTCAGAAGGGGGGGATAGTGCATGGTAAAAAACAAACTTCAGGTTGTTATAATGATCTTGGAAGCAGGAAACCTCAGAAATTCAAGCTTATGATGGCTCTTGCAAGACTAGTGAACAATTATGTTCAGTAATTTGAGAGAACGAATATGCAAAGATGGATTATTTATATCTAATTGACCTTTTTTCTAGTCAGTCAGATAGACACACAGCTCTGAGGAAGGAGAAGTTACTTTACGTTCCAAAGATGCAATGACACCAATTAATGCCTGAATGCAAAGCAATGGGTCTGTAGCTCAGCTGGTAGAAGAACCTGTGGTTTTGTCAGTATCTGTCATTTGAGAAACTTACCTTCTGAAGGCTCCCCAGTTCTTGGGCCATCAGCACAAGGGGTGAGAGAGAGAAATTGGAGTGTGCTGGTCTTTCTGAGAGGCAGCAGATCCCTGGAGGCTGTCCTGTCACATTATTTTCACATCCACTGGTTTTGAATCAAACCACTCTGACAGAAATGGTCCTGAATCATGTAATGTCTTTTTGATCTTATCTTGCTTGCACTTTTATTTTTCCAAATGTCTTTTTTTTTTTTTTTTTTAATTCCACAGTAATTGGTTTGGGGCAAGGCTTGTATTATCTGCCGCAGAAGCATGAGTCAGGCATGTGGCTGGCCTTTGTGATAAAGAGCCTCTACTTAAAGCCAAGTGCCATCGGAAGAAGACTGAAATAGTAAAGCTGCTGGATGTTGACTACAAGTGGCTTAGTAAAATGCAGCCAACAGAGAGGCTGTTTCTAAACAATCTTCTGGATCTGGCAGCTGTGACATAGCTTCCAGCAGAAAATGTTATTAAATGAATTAGATGAACCTGATGCTTACCACTGAAGCAATTCTGTTGTTGCTTATTGCTGCATGGTTGTTGTGCTTCATGTTGGAAGAGAATCTATGCCAATCCTTCAGGACCAGTTTAACACTGAAGCTGAAAATCTGCAGAGCAAGTGATCGTAGCTTTTAAAATTATTTTTAAATAAAGCGATGGACTTATTAAAACACTTGGTAAGGGATACAGTTCTGTTTTACTATTACTCTTTTAAATACTTATGTCCAAGTTGGTGGATGAGTGTATATATATTTATGTTCTTGTTTCCCATCCTCAAACAAGAAGACTTAAAGAATTCAAGAAATGTGATGTCAACATAGGACATGTTTTGAAAAGGATGCTTTTATTAAGTGTCATAGAAAAGTTAGTTGCTGGGAGCTGCACCAAGTGCTGAGGAAAGGTTTCCTTCAGCTTTCTTGTACCTATAAGCTAAAGGAGATAGTGGGGTGAAGAAAACTCCATGGCAAATTTGTCTTGCCCAGAGCAGAAAATGAATGAACAGCTTTCAAACAGATCATCTGCTACTGTAAACCAGGCAACAGGATCAGTGTGAAACTTTAATCCTGTTCCAGAGGGTAGACACAGGGACAGGCTCATTTTATTTGAAAAGAAGGCGTGGATGAGAGGAAGGAGATTGGGGGCAGGACGGAAAAATATTGAGGCCAAAATACTTTTGTACCAGGCGATAAAATGGGATGAGATTTGCTTCTGAAAAATGTATTGCTTGTTCATAGTTGTTGTTTGTTGTTTTGTTTGTTTTTTTTTAATTAGGGTATATTATAAATACACGTCTGTTTAGTCCCAAAAAGGAATTAGAGGAGCCCATGAAGGTTGTGTAACCATTTCCATATTGATTGTCTGGTTTGAGAAGCTTAACTCTTTTTTAACTATGCTTTGAAAATGACATTGTGGAAGCCTTAATTTTTCTAGAAAATGGACTGGTTTTTGGAAGAATGGTGGTGAAAAAGTTGTGCTGTCTTGTCCTATTCTTGATCACCAAGGTGACTGAGGTGGGGAGTGTACCTTCTCCTTACTATCTGGGATGGGAAGCAGTCACACAGTGTTCTACCTTTTAATAAACATCTTGGCTTCCAGAATAGGTGGAGGTAGCCAGTTGGCATGTTAAGTTCTTGATTTGATGGTATACAAAAAAACCACACAGAGAGCATGCTTAGTATATTTTGTTTTACGCTCTGTCATTTAGAAACATATAGGTCAGAACTTGTTTGATTGCTAGCTTGTTGCCTGTATAGAGAAGAATATAGTAAAATGGGTGCGAGCCTCTTAACACTCCCACCTGGCAATGGATGAAATCCCGTGACTGCATTCACAGACATGACTGTAGGAGACACTGCCTAATGTCAAAAACTGAGAATACCCAAGCTTTTCTTCCTGCTGTTTGCCATCAGCAGTCCCATACCTTTCATGACTCCCCACAAACATCATTTTGAGCGGGAGGCAAACTTTCACTTTCACCGATGAGGCTGATGAAGAGGCGGCTGCTCTACCCTAAGATTCATGTTGGTTCAAGTACTTGCGGGTCAGTACACCTTGGGAAGCAGATATAAGGCCCATTTTCCTGTAGGAGTTTGATCCCTGTTTACACTTCTGATTTCTGTACCCACTGCCGATGAGGAAAGCTGGTGCACCAACAAGTTTGTTTATACTGGAGTTGCAGGCATCCAATGCCTTGTGATACTGTGTAAGAACAGTGCCTGCCTGAGGCGAGCTGACTGAATAAAACAAGCCTCCAGCACAACCCCTTCAAAACTGATAAGGAGAAGGGTTGATGTTGTTCAGAGGATATGGATATTCAATTTGAGAAACTAGTAGTTTGGAGTTAAGCTCATTAGGCAAAGATGGAAAAGAAAGGTGGAGGGCTGGGAATGCCATTTGCTATGCCTAAGCACAAGAGTATCACTAACACCAGATAGATTAACAAGAGGGTTAAAGTTTCTGGTAAGAGCACTGTGGTTCAAGCATGAAGTTGTTGTTAAGCAGAAATGTTTTGCAGACTTGCAAGTGCCCAATGCAAGAACTATGCTACTGTAATTAGCAGTCACATCGCAAAAGCAGAAAGCATTCATTGTCTGGGGTGGGAAACACCGCAAGGCAAATATTTTGCAGACCTTCCTTTGAAAGCTGTGTAGACTAAGCCTGGCTAATCATCCCCTGTAGCCCTGGCTGGAGATGGGAACCAGAAAGGATTTTTGCTGTTCCTCTGTCATGCACTTTCTGGGACACCAAGAGGTGAGTTTTGGCTTCAGACAAGGCATGGAAAACTCTCAAGGAGTCACCTCTCCCTTGCTGATGCCTAGAAATCAGTCTGCTCCTTGCCTTCTCAGGGGAGGGGTCCCTGTGCCTCTGTGCCAGTGACCTCCATAAATTCACAAGTTGGCAAATAAAGTTCATTCAGGTTAGAGCAGTCAGAAGAAATTTTAACTGAGACCCTCCATCCCCATGAGTCTGCAACCCTGCAGGCAGTCCAATGCCAGCAGAAGGGCTGTCAGCATGTTGCCAGTGTTCCTCCCTGTGATCGGACCTTACAGTGAGTTTCTTCACTTAAGCTGAATAACAGAAATGCCAACCCCATTTTAGTGTCACTGGAGATCAAGCTAGAGGTAAAGTTGTATGTGACTCTGCAGGCATTGCCCTGGATCTCGCTTGCCAGCACTTTGAATGACCCAGTCGACTTGTGTAGTTAGTGGAGGACGTCTCGATACCTGTGTGAGAAACACAATAAATTTTAGCAGGCAGAAGAAAACAGCATCCAAGTTCTTCTCTTTGCCATCCTGCTTCTGGCTTTTGCAGTGCTGAACACTGAGATCTGCAAATCATTCCAGTGACGGCTAGTCCAAAAATGGAGTTGAACTTGTATTTCAAGCATTATGTTACTTCAGGGCAAAGTTAATTGTTTTCTCTCATTTAATGTCTCCAGTTATATTCAGAGAATTAGGATGTATGATAGACACAGAAGCTAAAAATTTCAGCAAGGCAGCTTTTATTTCTTTATTATACTTGTCTGTTCATACTGTCTTCAGCATGGGTGCTCCTTGGGCTTATTATTGATGATGAATAAGAACAGACTGTGCGGAGATTAATACAGATGGTTGTAGCCTCAAGACTTGATGAGCCGTAACCAAAGAAAATAAATCTCTACTTTCAAGGAGAGCCTTACACAACAGAATTTCATGTGGCTCAGCTGTATTCAAAGTGGAATATTAAAATTGCTGAGCAAAGAATTGAATGGCTTGTGTTGTGAATAGCCGTGCTGTATGGGTAAGTTGCTTACTGAAGCCTCTCAGATGGAAAAAACTCAACTATATTGTTTTCTTTTGGGTTAAAAGAAACAAACAAACCCATGAAACAAACCCTCTGTGATTCAGAAATCTTTGGAGAAAAGCAGTGTAGTTCACCAGAGCAAATGCTGAATTACAAAGGCAGCGCCACTGTAAATTTTGACAGAGACATCCTTAACCTGCTGCCACAGAAATTGGCATAAAAGGTAGAAAATAACTCTTCCCCTTTCCCTTCAAAATCTCTCTCATGTTTTTTTTTACTTTTCTTGTTTCTGAAAACGTGACACAAGGGCACCATTCTGGTTCAAACGTCTCTTTGAAACCATGGAAAGTCAGTTTTAAAGGAGTAAATGCAGTGGAAAACAGCCAAGATGATTGTGCAACCTCTTCCCGCCGGCATGTGTGGCTTCAGCAGCCCATGGCAAAATGGGGAGAGTTTTCTACACTAGAGGAAGCTCGGGTCTATTACCGGGTTCTGCACAGTGAGTTAATAAATCACATCTTCTTTTAAAATGATGCAAATTAAATCGCTTATCAGTCAATCATAACACTATTCACTTTGTACGGTCTTCAGGCTAGATACAGCTCCCTTAAACAGATGGTTGTGCCGGTGGGAATGTCTTAGGCTGTGACTTCAGTTAGGAGGAGGAAAATAAGGGAATATTATACTGCAGCAGCTCCCAGTCCACTCAGTCATTTCACCCAAAGGTAAAGACTGGAAGGGTTTTGCAAGTGATTATGTTTTTTAGGGAAAGAAGAGCAGGGAACATACTCTTAAAGAGCCAATGTCTGTCATGTTGGTCTCTGAGAGACTTCATGAACTCACTTCATGACAAATTCTTTCGGGGGCTGTAGATTCAGCTGTCTTGCCTTAATAGGAAGGGTCAAAGTACTCTGAAATATTTTTGACCACTCCAAAAATATATTCCTGCTATAGAATTCTATCATCATTTTCCATGTGATGGTTTAAAAACAAACAATAAAGCAAAACCATGGCATGAGATTTCAGCTGGAGCATTCTTTAAGGTTTTAGAGTTTGGGGGTATTTTTCTGGTGTAGGATCTATTAAGTTTCCATGTCATCATACTGGCTTCATCTCAACCTATGTTCTATAGTAGTCCTATACAAATAGCCATGGTTAAAGTTATGCTAAAAATAATATTTCTTTTATTTATTGCTACACTGTTACCTGCAAAAAAAAAACCCTGAGGACAGTATTGTTATTAAATCAATCAGGTTTAAGAACAGCAATTCTGCTTGTTTTTTCAGCTTTTTCTTTATCTATTTTTCCCCTTAACAATCTCATTGCTAGGATCTAAGCTCAGTTGCACTTTGAAAAGTCTGTTCACTGATTTACTGTCGTCTTCTCTGCAGACAGCAGCAACCCAGGTGTAGATGGGTTTCCATGTGCCTTGATAGGCTTCTCCAGTGTCTGATCAGGTCTTCAGTAAAGGCTACTACCATGACTTCTTCCAGCTACTCAGCTGCTTATTTTAATGAAACTAGAGAATGATGTCTCTGAGGTTTCTATCATTTTCTTAAATCTAGTGATGGGTACAAAAGCGAGCAGGGGATGCCCAAGTGTCATCAGCTGTGTCTCAGATCTTTAAGAAATTAAGGAGAGAGTAACTTGGATGGTTAGCAAATTTAGTGTCACAGTGGTAGAAGTCCTATCGTATATGCTCAAAAGATCCATTTTGCAAAGTGTCTGAACTTCCTGGTGAGGAATATTTTAGTTTCTTAGCCCTGTGGCCTTGAAGACTTTCATGCTACCCTCCTTTATCTTTCTAAGGATCTGCTTTGGGTTACAGATTGCCATTTCTTTAATATTTGTCTGTAATAACTGTACTGCCACCATCAATTAAATTCACCAGATATTTTTCTTCCTGGCCTCCTGCAGCTTTAATCTGAAACTTTCCATTTTCCTGTCCATGGACACCATCACAGCCTGAACAGAGTCCAATTTTCCATTAATGGACACAGCAGGCTTTTAAAATAAATCAGATGAAGGGTGGAGTCTGCAGCTCCGGATGCACCATGTGAAAGAGTCAGCCAGACCCAACTCCCAGCACTGCACCAGCTCCTTTCTGTTTATCTTTGTGTTTATTGAAATAATAAAAGGTGAACGAAAAGGAAGGAAAAAAAAAAAAAAGAAAAGAAGACACCTAAAAAGCATCATTCAAGCATAAAGCACTTAACAAGGAATAAAAGAGGAAACAGTAACTCCTTAATCCATCTACATGATCCATAATTTAAACTGTGATATCTGAAATGTTCCTTAGAGACTACATCTGAATGCAACACCTTGTATGCTCCACTGATTGGTAGAGGTCTAATGGTGTGGTATTTCTCAGATTAGAGGAAAGTGGGTACTGGACAACAACAACAAA